GAAAAGAAAAAGGAATGTGGATTTGTGATTATTAATTTGCAAAATGTTTAGTCAAGATAGTCTGCAAATTGAAGTTTCATGATGGAACCGATACGAGGCTTTGGGGGTGAGCTTTTCTCCCTGCATCTCTGCCTGGGGGAGGAAAAGTCCACATGGGAACAACTGTTAGGTGTGTTCATGCCCTCAACCGTAAGACACCAGGTCTATCATTGCTGATGTCTTCTCTCTGAAGGATTTAGGCCTTGATATCATTGTGGAAGACTTTTATCATTAGGCGAAATTTAGAAAGATAAGGATTATTTTGATTGCCAAAATTTTCCCTATGAGAAACCAACCTCGATTTTTAAAATTAAACTTTTTGAGCTAACTGCAGATTCCCTTTTATTCGTAAGAAATAATACAGAGACATTGGTGTAGCCTTTACCCAGTTTCCTTTAATGGTAACTGTCATGCAAAACCACAGTGTAATATCACAATCAGGATACTGGTGTTGCTACAATCAAGACAGAACATTCCATCACTTCAGGATCATCCCTCCTGCTGCCCTTTTAAGCCACACCCAGCTCCCTCCTCCAGGGAAACCGCTATTCTGTCCTTTGCATCTGTAAATTTGCCCTTTTAAGAATGCTGGCTGTACATGGTGGCTCATGCCTGTAATTTCAGCACTTTAAGAGTCCGAGGCTGGTGGATCACCTCAGATCAGGGGTTCCAGACCAGCCTGGACAACATGGTGAAACCCTGTCTCTATGAAAAACACAAAAATTAGCCAGCCACGGTGGTACGCGCCTGTAGTCCCAGCTACTCAGGAGACTGAGCTGGGAGGATCACTTGAGCCTGGCAGGCAGAGGTTGCAGTGAGCCTAAATCATGCCACTGCACTCCAGCTTGGGTAATAGAGTGACATCCTGTCTCAAAAAAAAAAAAAAAAAGTTTCATAAATGGAATTATACATGTAACATTTGGGGATTGGCTTTTTCTGCTCAGCATAACTCCCTGGAAATTCACCTGTGGATCTACAGAGTTTTGCTGCTCTAGTAACATGAAGATGATCTATTCCTCTTGGTCATGGCATTCCAAACCTACATTTTTATGCAGGGAATAGAGCTACGCTGTTTTGGGGGATATTTATCGTATGAGATCTTAAACAATTTTTTGAACTGTTAACATGAGACTATCTTCTTTTGAAGAGCTGTGTACCATCCAGAAAGACTGAGTAGGAGGCCAATATTATATTCCAGACTCTATTTTTACTCTGATAAAACTGAACATATGGGGTACAGTAGTGGTACAGTTTATCTCTAGATATATTTTAGTTTGCTTTTTTTTTTTATTTGTCTTAAATGTAAAAACTGAAAGAAAAACAGACATTTCTATGGTGGCTTTTTAAATTTCTTTAAACCGCTATGGACAGACTTGTACATTTCTTTAAAAAATTATTTTCAGGGTTGGGCGCAGTGGCTCACGCCTGTAATCCCAGTACTTTGGGAGGCTGAGGCAGGCAGATCATGAGGTCGGGAGATTGAGACCATCCCGGCCAACATGGTGAAACCCCATCTCTACTAAAAATACAAAAAATTAGCTGGGTGTGGTAGTGCACGCCTGTAGTACCAGCTACTCAGGAGGCTGAGGCAGCAGAATCACCTGAACCCAGGAGATGGAGGTTGAGTGAGCCAAGATTGTGCCACTGCACTCCAGCCTGGTGACAGAATGAGACTCCGTTTCAAAAAAAAATTATTATTTGCAGCTTATTTGTTCTGTTTTATATAACATTTACTCCAATACACGAGTAGGATGATTATAGCTACCTCTTTCAATTCTTAGAACAGCCCTCTGAGGGTGATATTATTTTCCCTCCTCTACAGATGAGGCTTAGTAAGGTTAAGTAACTTGCCCCAGGTCACCTAGCAAGTTCATAGATGAATGAGGACTGAGGCCAGGTATGGGTCACAGTCTCTGTGTCATGGTGTAAGGAAGGAACAGTCTTGCCACTGATTCTTTCTTTTTTTTTTTTCTTTTTTGAGACAGAGTCTCACTCTGTTGCCCAGGCTGGAGTGCAGTGGCGTGATCTCGGCTCACTGCAACTTCCGCCTCCTGGGTACAAGTGATTCTCCTGCCTCAGTGTCCTGAGTAGCTGGGATTACAGGCATGAGCCACCAATGCCTGGCTAATTTTTGTATTTTTAGTAGAGATGGGGTTTTGCCACGCTGGTCAGGCTGGTCTCAAACTCCTGACCTCAGTGATCCACCCACCTCGGCCTCCCAAAGTGCTGGTTAAGCCGTGAGCCACCTCGCCCAGCCTTGTCATTGATTCTTAATAACCTGTTTTAATTTCACCAGTAACATTAACTCATTGTAGCAGAACAGATGAGCCAAAAGAACAAACAGCTGTCCAAATCTGTGTACATATTACCAGGACGAGACTTCCTAAAACGTCAAAAAACAACAGATGTGGAGAAAAGGGAATTACACACTGTTGGTGGGAATGTAAATTAGTATAACCTCTATGAAAAACAGCATGAAGATTTCTCAAAGAACTAAAAATAGAACTACCATTCTATCAGCAATCCCACTATGAGTATCTACTTAAAGGAAAAGAAATAATTACATCCAAAAGATCCCTGCACTTGTATGTCTGTTGCAGCACAATTCCCAATAGCAAAGATACGGAATCAACCAAAGTATCTATCAGTGGATGATGGATAAAGAAAATGTGGTATATGTGTACCAGGGGATATTACTCAGCCATATGAAAAGAATGAAATTATGGCTTTTGCAGCAACGTGAGTGGGACTGGAGGCTATTATCTTAAGTGAAAAAACTCAGAAAAAGAAAATAATGATTTAAAAAAAGCCTCAGAAATAAAAAGTAAAATACCACGTTTTCCATTATAAGTGGGAGTTAAACAGTTTGTATACAGGGTCATGGAGTGTGGAATAATAGACACTGGAGACTCAGAAAGGTGGGAGGGGTGAGACAAGAAATTTCCTTTTGGGTACAATGCACGCCATTTGGGTGACAGTTAGATAAAAGCCCAGACTTCCCCACTACGCAATATATCCATGTAACAAAACTGCACTTGTGACCAGGTGTGACCAGGTAGCACTTTGGAAGGCAAAGGTAGGCAGATCACCTGAGGTCGGGAGTTTGAGACCAGCCTGGCCAATATGGCGAAACCCAGTCTCTACTAAAAATACAAAAATTAGCCAGGCATTGGTGGCCCATGCCTGTAATCCCAGCTGCTCAGGAGGCTGAGGCAAGAGAATCGCTTGAACCCAAGAGGTGGAGGTTGCACTGAGCCGAGATCGCACCACTGCACTTCAGCCTGGGCGACAGAGCGAGACTCCTTCTCAAGAAAAAACAAACAAACAAACAAACAAACCAAAACTGCAGTTGGACTCCCTAACTCTATAAAAATAAAAAAATAAAATGCTTTTCTAAAAGAGCTTTTAAGACACCTGGTTTAAGCAAGCACAATTGAGTTAACTGTATAGTTTCAGTATACTCCTAAGTATTACAATTCACACTAATAGCAAAAATATACATGAAACATCAAGTTAACCGTGCGTCTCTCCCTCTAAATGTTAGGTCGTGATAGCATTAGGAAGGCTTCAAAAGGAAAAATTCCTCATATGCTGTATTCTAAATCCCATATTTTTCCATCAGCTCCTTTGCTTTAGAAATATAGGCACTCATTGCATCTTCCGTCGACAACCCTAGAAAGATACAAACAGGTAATCTCCCTGATTGGTGCACTGGGAAATTAGGAAAGTTTGCTTTAAACTTGTGAAAGACTAAAAAACCTTTTTGGAGGTTCCATGCTTCCCATTTGGCTTTGCCTTTTAAATCTAGCATTCCTGGACACCCTGGCAAAAGAAGGGGAGATGCATTTGCAAGTTAACGTTTTACTGTGTGCTTCTATAAACTGTTGAAACGTATTGTTATATTTTAAGTGATATATTACTGTAATATTTATATTAAGTGTAACATATTAATATTAATGATATATATAAATACATATAGTACCAATACTAATGTCTCCAATTGTTGCTTGCTTGTAAAGCCCATAGAGGTCTTTCAGTTCTCCATCATCTGGTCTTGCTTTCAGCTTCCTCACTTCTTCTGCAGCCTTGTCAAATTCGGCCTAAAGGGGAAAAAAAGGAATAGGAACTCAAAGAGCAGGAAGAGGAAGGTTTCGAATAGAAAGGAGCTTTTGCTGCTCTGATTCTATCAGAATGATCTTAATTTACTTGAATTCCTAGGGGTTCACCTCTCCTGGGACTTACCTAATATACAGGCAAAATATGGAGAACTACATAAAATTCGTAATTCAGAAAATATTAGGTTT